CCCGACGAGCCCCACCGCCTCCAGGGATAGGAAACGTCCCCGGCGTTTGCTCGCAAGTGGGTTCTCCCCCTCACCCCTTTACGTGGCCTTTTTAATTTAATTTTATTTACTTGCCTCCATGCGGGTGGTGGGGCGGCATCACGGGTCCCTCAAAGCCTGCGCTGAGCTCTGCACGGCGGTGGGTACCGGCGCTGCCCACGCCGCAGCCAGAGCCCAGGCTCCCAAACGGGACGGCTTCGGGATTGAAAAATTAGGCAGAATTTAAAACCCCAAACCCAAACCCCCCTGAACAAAAGGAAAACAGGCAGTCAGCCTTCTTTTTCCTTGCCTGAAAGCATGCAAGGGTGGGTTGGGTTTTTTCCTTTCTTAATTTTCCTTTCAAGCCCGAGGATGAGAACCTCTCCCCGGGCTGGAGGTCTCGGCACCAGCCCCCTCCGCCCCATCCCGGCGGCACCGCCCCAGGCAGACAAAAAAGCCAAACTCCTTTTAAAGCACTTTTTTTTTTTTTCTTTTTTTTTTTATTGATTTCATTGAAAACAGAACAAGAAAATGATCAGAGCCAAAAGACTGCTCCTTTAAAACTGTCAAAAACATTAACAGAAAAAAAAATAATAATAATAAACATGACGGCATTATGAATGTTCTAGAAGAGATGAACAAAAAAAACTGTTACTGCACTAATTACAGTATTTAAAGATATATGCAAAAAAAAAAAAATTAAGATAATGACCTGCCCAGCCACCACACAAAAGGTGATGGCAAATTTATTCACACTACAATACTAACAATTTAAAAAAAGTTTTGTTTTTTTCCTGCATTTTTATACTAAAATCACTTTGTTCTTTTTATACAATTGATAGTTTATATTCACGTGGTGAGCAAAAATCACACCAGAATCAGCACCGTTTTGTTTTGTGGTTTCTTTTTGTTGTCGTTTTTTTGTTGTTTGTATTTTTTGTGTGTGTTTTTTTGTTTTTTTTCTTTTTAATGCTAGTCCCCAATGTTTCGGTAATGGTAAAAAATAAATCAGTTCATTGAAACCTCATAGCGTGTGGCTTAAAAATTAATCGAAGGTGCCCAGCGTTGAGAAAAGTGATGGGAACAGACGAGCTGGTGGCATCTAGGATCTTCTCGCCGTGACACGTCCTGTCTGCTGTTCGCCCCAGCCAGCGGACGCGAGTCGAGGTTCTCTATAATATATATATCTCATTCACTTTATTTTTTTTAAAAAAACGAAAAAACTGATTTTCTTAAGAAGTTAGTGTCTTGTACAATCCCCTTCAACCATCCCTCTCTAAAACCGCTACTGCGACGGGGCGAGGGAAATCCTTCCACGGATGAACCGAACACTGAGACAGTAACACGGCGCAGGCGGCGCAGACGAGAGCTGGTTCGTAACGGAGAGAGCCCGGGAGGGAGCGGGGTCTGGGGGGAAGCGTCTCCGGTGGGCTCGGGAGGGAGCCGGGGATCAAAGGGGTTGTAAGGACTGTGGGTTTCTTCTCGGAAGAGAAAAAAAGCCGGTGGATTTGGTAACAAGGAGGGTATTTGTTAGAAATGCCCTCTGGCTCCTAGGGAAAGGGCCCACCGCAACGTCCTGCGAGATGTGGGAGAAATTCACGATTTAAAAAAAAAAAAAAGAAAAAAAAACAACCCCAAAAAACCAAAAAACCAACCAAACCAACAAAAACCAACCAGCAGAACCTGCCCCGGGGCTGTGCCAAGCAAACCCAAACACCAGCACCTCCCTCCCCCTCCCTGCTCCCCCCACCCCGGCTTTTAGAAAGAAAGTCCCATCAAGTATTCAAAGTTTATTACAAGTGAACTGGAGATGACTTGGCATGAGCGATCCATTCAATTAACAACAGTCGAGGACGGGCGCCTCTCCCTTGGCTCTGACAACACTTAGCACGTTAAGAGATGGAGGCCAGGACAGCTCGCATGATAAAAAAAACGCAACAGCCACCCCTCCACACGCAACTGTGAAAACCAGCAGCTTTCCAGGACTGGGGAGGGGAGAACAACATCACTGAGGCGGGATTCGCTTTTACTTATTCCTCAAGTAACAGTCGGTGGCACAGCCCTAAGTGTCACAAACCCTTGGCTTTCCTTGAGTGTTTTTTTTTTTTCTTTTTTCTTTCTTTTCTTTTTTTTTTTTTTTTTTTTTCTCTTTAAATGGAAATTCAGACCATATGTGAATCTATAGGGTTAAAACAAGTCAGTCTCTGGGGAGCGGAGCCTCAAAAGGGGCCGGCTGCTGTGGCGGAGCTGGTGTCGGGGAGCCCATTTTCCTGCACGTCCTGGGACGAGGTGCTCGCCTGCCTCTGGGCCAGCGCTGAGCTCGAGTGTTTGCACTTGGGTGAACCGCACTGACAGCTGAAGTATTTGCCTTTGATGTCCCAGAACCTGTCTCCGTAGTCAAAGCTGCAAGAGAGAGACAGAGATGGGGTCACTGCGAAGCAGCAGCACACAGGAGCAACAGGGACCATGCAGCAGCGCAACACTCCGGGGTCAGCAATCCCAGGCGGTGCCGCAATTCGGGTTTTTGCAAAGCTTCGGGGGATGAAGCGCGTTTGTGGGATCCCCGGGGGACCCTGGGGACACGGCCCGGGGAGCAGAGGGATGGAGTGAACCAGCGCAGGATCAGCAGAGCTTTCGTCCCTCTGCACTCCGTCCTTCCCCACGGGAGGCGGTGGCAGCCCCGGGGACAGCACCTACCCGATTTCTTCTCCAGCTTCTATATGCCTCGTGCTGAAGAAGGCGATCCTGGGAAAGCGGAGGTCCTGATGCGACATGAAGACTCGCACCGGGATGAGGTTTGGCTCGCAGAGGTGGTTTATAAAACGGCTGATGTTGCCATAGAAACGGGCATCTATGCAGTACACCTCTCCGTCCTAGAGGAGACACGTTGCATCTTTCATTAGATGGGGTCGGGTTTAGTGTTATTACTGCTCCTTGTTTAAGTAAAACAAACCCAGATGACCGAACTATTGGTCATCGCACTAAAACTCTGGAGAGCTTCAAGAACCACCATCAGGGCACGACACCTACTGTGGGTTTAAAAGGACTAAACACGCACACTTTTATCTTCAACAGTACTCTGAAAATAGAGTTTTCTCTGCCCCCACGAGCCCAAGGACCTTTTAAAACACCCCTGACATCGGCTGGCACATCAGCTCTCCCCAGCCCTGCTCTGCTAAAGCACCAGTTTGGCGTAGTGGGATCAATGTTTGGTGCAGACAAACACCTTACGGGTAAAAGCCACTGGATAGGGGAACAGGCATCTGTTCTGTCCTTTAATTGAACATGACAGCTAGGAAACAAAGCCAGAGCCTCGAGAAAACACAGGTATTTGCAGATAAAAGTAAAAGTGAGAACACAGAAATTCCCTTTCCAGAGAGCAGTAATATTTTGTTTTCCTTGAAAATAAAAGAACCCCCCTCAGGACTTTTCTTATTCCAGCAGAGAATGACTGTGCAAAGCAGAGACTTTAATTACAGAAGCTAATTTGAGTTGCAAAGAGGCCAAAAGCAAAAGGATCCATTAGCGGTGCTCAAACTCCCTTTTGGGCAAGCACCTCGCAATCGTTAATGGATGAGCTGTGCCAGATCACACCACCCGACGGGTACAGGAGCCCACGGAAGATGTCCCAACGACTGGGGGAGGTGTCACCCCACGTGGTCCCATATCACACACAGTGTTAGCAGCTCTAATTTCAATTATAAGTAATTCCCATCACTCCCTCACTTTCATCCATAGAAATGCCATGGTTGGTGAGGACATCACCAACCACTACCACATCTAGTGACCATCTGGTAAGATCTGAGCTCTCCACCATGGAAGTCGAGATGTGTTTCTCAAAAGAGCCCGCTGCCTTGTCCAACACAGGCAGTGTCCCCACTGTGAAGCTGCTGAGGAGGACAAGTCCCAAAGCAATCCCACCTGGCTACAAGAGTATCAGGAACACAACAGTCACACGGTGGCAAGTAGAGAAGAAGAGAAACCATGAACCTGCTCTGGGGGGAGATGAGTCTCCTTCTCAAGAGTGGGAAGGCACCAGGGTTTCTTAGAAGGGAGGAAGACTGGAGAAAGCCCGTCGTACCTGCAGGCAGGCAGGGGGGACATGGATGCAGCAGCGTGCAGCCCCCACCGCTGCCTCTCCTCGACAGAGCGCAGCAGGGCCAAGTGGAAAAGGGGTGGCTTACCATCAACAGAAAGCACTAAAACTCAACCTTGTCTTTCCCAGAAAGAGCATGGTTTTATTCCAGCTCTCTGGTAAAGACAAGAAAACGATCCCTTTAACCAGTGGAAGCTCAGAGAGCATGTCCTCCTCCAGGACAGCAATGGCAGTAAGTTTTGGCTGTTTGATGTTTGCCTTCTTTCAGGCGCGGAATGGGATGTGACTGCAGGACCTGCCACGCTGAACGATTCACCGTGCACGTGGCCTTGAGCAACACCTCAAGGTACAGTGACACCAGAAATGACATCTTCCCCATTGTCTTCCACTACAGCACAAGCCCATCCAGGCCACCCCTTCAAGACACACCAGGACCCCGAGGCTGTCCCTCCCAGGGTTGGGGTTCACACCCTTAATGATTTCCCATCGCTCAGGAGGCCACAGGACCTGGCTGGCTCTGCCCTGCCCTCCTCCACGCATCCCGATGGGCTGCTTTTAACGATCGCTCCATGACTTGCTGCCTGGGTTTCTACAGATGCACCACTTTGAAGACACCATGAAAAAAGAAGACGTGGTGGTACCTGTACTTTGGTCTCCCTCCTTGCTTCACTGAAGGCTCGATACCAGCAGAGGCGGAGGTTGTCCCTCACGGCAGCTGGCCAGGGGCTAACCTAACGGCAAGGCCAGGCCCAGGTGGGCTCCTGCTCATAAACGCACAAACCAGGTTGACGCCCCGGCTGCTTTTCAACTTCTCAATTACAGTTTGTCCCCTCTGTTTTCAGACTGACTGCAAGACTCATTACTTGTCTTTTTTCCGTTCTTGAATGTGTATCGCTTTAATAATAAAGGCAAAAAAATAAAGCAAAGCTTCTTTGTCACTAGCTGATGACAGAAACAAGACAGAGACTGTTTTACAGCCTTCCTTGGAAGCCACCCCATGTCTCTGAGTCCCCAGCTCACCTTTCTCCTCTTCTCCTTTCCTAAGGAAAGTCTGCAGTGATGGCCTCGCTTAAAAGCTTTAGATCGTACTTTTCAAAGCACCATTTCTGCTCTGAGACAGCCCTCCACAGAGCAGCGCAGGGCAACTACCAGCAGAACAAGCCTCAAGTCCCTGCCAAGGTATCTCATGGATCCCTTTATAAATGAACAGCGGTTGTTTTCAGTCTTCAGCTCATCTTTGTATGAGCTTAGAGAACTCAAGAGAGCTGAACTTCGAGAGCTGCCAATCAGCACAGCTGCAAGCCTGCACATACACACTTCAACATCAAAAACTGAACAGCTGAACTCAGGATACCCAAACGGCTCTGTCAGAAAAGCATCTTGCATCAAAACTGGTTTGGGCAGCACATACCGTGGTGGCCCAGCGCTGCTGGGCTCTCTTATCATTTTAACAAGTCCTAAGCCTTACCTCAACCACTCTACATTTTGACTAAAATGCAGCAAGGACATGGTCCTCCTCTTTGCAGCCTTTCAGACTGTGCTGTACATAAAGATGGAGACAAATATTGTCTCTGCTCATTTGGAGAAGCAAGACCTTGAGTTTGCCTCGTTAGACGCCTTCAGATACAGTACCTTGTTGTCAAGGTCGAAGAGGTAGGAGTCCTCTTCACGGACGTCTGCCTCAGAATCGGATATCAGCTCACCGACGTACCTGCAGACAAACAGGAAAGGCAGAAGTAAGATGCTCGTGCAACCACAAGCTTGGGGTTAAACACCTCTTGCTGGGACGAGGGAAAGAAAGGGGCACAGCCTTAGCAGTGCAGGTCGTCTCAGAGCCACCCGGGCAAACTCAGCTTTGCCAACTTACAGCAGCTGAAATCTGGCTCTAAACTCTGTCTTTTCAGGGCAACATTTAATATTAAAAATGGAGCCTTACTTCCAACAAAATTTACTTTTCCCAAGGACTATGTTTCCGTTTGCAAATCTCTTTGTTGGCCAAGATCAACACATTAATCCAATTCTCCTTATGCTCATGGTGCAGACTCAGGCACATCCTGGCTCCCCTATGCACCACTGCAATGCTCGGGCTGTTTACAACCCAATGCAAAATGTTTGTTTCTGTCCTTCCTATATTTTCTGGGGTACTTGGACCAATTACATATGCTACACACCTTAAAAAAGATTTGGTTTAGCAGTCTTAGGTCTAACCTAATCTGACCAGATCCCTGGAAGGATCTAGGTTTCTTTCTCAATCCTTCCCGAACCAGAATAAGTCAGAGCTATGATCTCAGTAACCACCACCTTGTTGTAAAACACGGTGCAAGGCAGATTACAACCAGCTCCTCTGAGCACCGTGAAGCACATACTGCTCGGCCTGGCCTGCCGGGAAGGACTAAATACACACACCGCCCTTCACAGCCCAGACAGACGCTGGTTTTGATGCAAATCCCCTTGTTGCAGGAGTCCCCAGTGCAATGGTATTCCCACATTTGTCTCCCTGTCTCCATCTTTGACAGTTTTAGACTGTCAAGGTTCAACGCTTCCTGCCCTGACCTGCTTGCGATCGAAGTAAGAGACGCAAGAGGAGAGGTACTGAGCCAGAGAGAGGATACGAGGGAGAAGCAACAGTGCGGCAGATTCTGGTACACCGAGTCTTCCCAGCGTTTAACACGATGCTAATTAATTATAAGCGAAGGATTCGCAATACAAATAAATATTCTTCGCAGCATCAACAGAGACTTCCACGACCAGCGGCCATCACAATAGCATTCCTCTGCAGCTCGCGAGGCATCTTCGAAGCCTTAACCAACCGTATCCATTTCCCCCTGTGGCTCACGGCAGCATTTAACTCCAGGGCTGGGGCAGAGGAGAGCCACGAAACATCAACCTGGAGAGGACCCACGCACTCTGTGACAAGGGATCGTTTGGCCGCAGTTCCCAAACCTGAGCGATCTGGCCAAGCTGCTCTGCCAGAGCAAGAGGCTGCCGCCGCGTGGGATCTTCCCGTTCGCCCCCACCCCATCTTGTTATTTATTAAGCGCTCCCGTAAGGCTGCGGCATTACTGGAAATCACACGCTCGTTGGTGACCTAAAGCAATAGGAAGACGATGGCCAGAGAGGGAGAGAAATTGCCGTAGCACGGCACAGCAGCCAGCGGCAGCTGCGAAACAGCTGAATAATGCTGCGCGGAGAGGCACTCTGCTCAGGGACAGCCACTTCAGGTTTACAACTCAGTGAAACAAAAACCCACAATCTAATTAAAAATTGTTGTTTGGGTGTTCCTTTAAGGATTATTCCTGTAATTCATCTCCTTTCCAGGACTGCAATACAAACAGGTCCCTGCTTTCCCAGGTCCAAAGTGATGGAAGGATGTGCAAGAGCTACATGTTCCTACCCAAAAACAAAGCAGGAGCATCAGCCCCTTTACTTAAAAACTCCTGAAGTCAAGCCAGTATCTTTCTTCTCAGCAAGATGTTCAGCACGCTGATGGCAAGTAACTACATCTTGGAGCTTTCCACTGCCACTCATCAGCGCAAGATCAGAGCGCACTCCATGCAAAAATCAAGAGCAACAAGACGTCCCTCGCGCAGGCTCCAGCGTTCTCCACGGAGTCAGGGAGACGGGGCGTCTAGGGCTTCTCTGGCTCAAGGTGTGGCTAAAATACCTGGCCCGATGCGGATGGTATCTTATTACAGCATCACTGTTCTGTACAGAAATGAAGTATTTGGAAACCATGTAACGGACGTGTGCCGAAAGGAAGAGACCAGATCCTGACAGACCTCTGGTTTCCGCATCCCACTAATTCAAAGCCCCTCCAGTAACAGCTCTTAACCAGCTGTGCCATTTCCAGAACGAGCAGTTACGCCATTTAACAACCAAGCACAAACAGACCAGATTCAAAACAACCCACAGCAACGACAGCACAGGGCGAGCAACAGCGGCTTCTGAGCAGCGACGAATTCGGAGGCCGAGGAGAAACCTGCACACGAGCACGCTCCTGAGCAGCTGCCAGTGGAAGAGCCTAAAACCTCCGTGGGAGCCCAGCGGGGCAGGCAGGGTGACACTGCCGCATCTCCCCTCGCTAAGCTGCTGCTTCCAGGATGGCGCCGAAGGTACCAGAGGCCATTAGTAGGAGGGTCTGGAGCAGCTGAAGGGTCTGGAGCAGCTGGGGTCTGAGCAGCCCTGGGGACGACGGCGGGAGGGCTGGCTGGCCACCGCGCTGGCAGAGCCTTGCTCCCAGCTGCCAAACTGCTCTGAGCGCTGCTAAACGCTCCCTCCAGAAGCTGCTGCGGGCTGCCAGAGGGACAGCCTGCAAGCAGAAACGGAAAGAGAAACCATTGTTGGAGTGATTACAGAGAAAAGCTGAAAGGTAGCTGAAGTACGGAGCAGGCTGAAAAGAAGTATGTGTGTAAGAAAGGCATTTACACACAGAAACAGTCAGGACCGGCAGAGTTTTGCAAAATAAAAGCGTTGTGAGAACTATCCCAGATTTGTCCCCCTTGCAGGCATATGTGAAAAATTATGCAATAAAAGCCATCCTTATACCAATACAATTATCATCCTTCCAAAGCGTAACTCCTGTACAAAGCAACCACCCGCTCAGGGCTCTAATCCAGATGTTTAATGGAAAATGCTCCTCCAGAGGAGCAGATCCTGGGAGCCGCTGTGTGCGAGCAGCCCCCGAGCACTGCCAGCACAGGGGCTTCTCCGCCAGAGATGAGGAGCAGAAGGAACCAAGCCTAGAGGTTGCACGGGGAAAGACTCACAGGAAGGACATCAGTGCAACCGGCTTGAGGAGGAGAGGAGGACTGGAGTTGGTGAATTGAGTAAATAGAGTGTGCGCGCGCGTGTGTGTGTGTGAGCGATGGGGACAAGGAGGATCCTGCACAGGCCAAGACATAAATTAGCTCAGCTTTTTAGCATGCAGCTCATTTAGATAATGAAGAAGATAGCGCCTACTGCCGAAACAGCGTCAGCAGCTCCTGGCAAGGGTGGAGGGAAGAGGTAAGAGCGGGTGCGGTATCCGCACCCCATCACCTCTGAAATGCTGCACAACGCGCCCGTAATTACACCATCACACAGGGGTGTGTGTGCTGTCCCGTTTCCTCGGGCTGCCCACTCACCACTGCTTACTCCTCTCACTTATTAGCATTCCAGTAGGATTTGGTAAAGTCAATGCCTTTTGTCCTTAGGGAGCCGTCTGCTGGAAGGCTCTGGCTCATCTCCGGGCCCTGAACCAGGACAGACCTTTGGTACATAACAGAAAGTCCCACCTGAAGACAGACTCGAGACACTCCTCACAAACAGCAGTTTTAAGCTTTACCTCTGAGAAAACATTTTATTGTCTGGCCGCTCCTAACACGGAAAGAATACTTGGTCGATTCACTGCAGATTTTTTTTTTCCTTCATTTTTTTTTAAAGTTCTGCAATAATCTTTCTCAACCCCCCACCCCAATTCTGTATCAATAACTAGTTCTAAAAAACCCCAGCACCTACTTCCATGGGGGGCACAAGTCCAGCCTTATTTAGAAAGTCTTCACTCACTGTAGTATTGCAATGAAGAAAACACTTTCCAAAGTATTTAATAAAGCACATATACCACTTTGAAGCCTAAAAACTGTGGGGTTTGACAGCATTTTTTTTTCATTTGACATAAATCTGAACATTTTTGTTCTTAAGTAGTCTATTGAATCAGGGCCGAAACATGTGCTTAACGCCAAGTGCTTTACTGTTTTGCTGAATCAGACTAAAGCCAGAGCTATGACACTGGAAAACCTCTTGAGAAGTCAGTATTGAAACAGAAAAAGATCCGATACATAAAAGTTGTTCCAAATTGCCTTGGCCTTAAATGTCCCATATCCAGGGTGACCACGTGAGTTGAGCACATTTGTAGCACAACCGAAATCCATTTTCCCCCCATCGCGTGTGCTTCAGAGGGGTAAGAGAGCTGAGCACAGATTCCAGCAAGATGGGGAGGGGTGGAGAAAGCTCCACGCTATGAGGAAAAGGACAAACAGAGCAGGAAATGGAGTCAGGAAACCTCTGACTGAGGCCAAGCAGCTCGGCTCCATGCCAATTTGATTTGCGTGAAAACCATGCAAACCTGTCCTTAAAGAGGAGCAAACCATCCCGGCCCGAGGGAAGCACTGTGTTGGCCTGAGCTAATGAAAGCGGAGTAACTTACTCGCACACAAAGGTTCCCAGTGGAATGTCTTGCATTGTTCGCACACCCCAACCCATCTTTTGTGTCCGATAAAGCTGCAATCGAGTCCTGGAAAAGAGGAAACAAAGCCTCATTAATGGCAGCATTCTGCAGAAAGACAACACGTTTTCACAGAGGTGAGCAAAAAGCCACCAACCTTCCATCAGCACAAACTCGATGACGATTTTAACACTCCACCCGCCCCGTTCTCACACTGGCACCACTGTAAGTACGCTCCACTCCCACCGCTGCTCTGAGCACGCGGGCAGATGCTGGGATGGGAACTGCCTGGGACCAAGGGATGGGCGCCCACCAACCCCTTCTCCCTGCCCAGCTGCACCTTGCAAGGTGCACGCCTGGGGACTGGGGAAGAGGGTATGGGACTGGATGCTCCGCGTGGTTATGCCGTTGATTTACACATGGGACACCAGTATCCCACCACCAGCATTTCTTTTCCCTTCCCTGCACACGCTTGAACTCGGGGGAAGGTGGAAGGGGACTTAAGGTAGCGTAGGTCTGCAGGGAGGGGGGCTGCGAAGGGAAGGCAGGGAGCTTACGGTGAATTAAGAACACCTTCAGCTAAGTGCTCTGATCCCTTTGCCCTCTGCTGAGGCCAGTGCATTTAGCAACTCCATCATATCCAGCTCCCTGGCTGAAAGACAAGGAAGAAACGCTGCAACTTGAAACTTCTTGGTGTAATAGCTGCTCTGTGGAATTTTACTGATGGAGTTTATAGGCAGAGAAACAATCCTGTAAGTCATTCTGCCTCCTGCTCAGCCAGAGCTTGAGTTAAGTGCAGGATGAACAGTCTCCAGGGCTAGGGAAGGCTCGCTCTGTCCCCAAGGGAATGAAAACCCACTCTCAGCAACACTGTTATTGGAATAAAGAGAAATCTGATGCTCACCTTAACTTCACCCTGTTGCTTTTTCCAGTACTTCTCTCCTCTTCCCCCCACCCATTCCCTCTGTGCACCGTCAGCTCAAACCAGGGGCTGTACATTTTCTCATATTTGCTCACAGCTCCCAAAGCCTTCACCAGGGCAAAGCATGACTTGATGAGAACGATCACTCTCAGACAAACCACTTATAACACTGTATTTCAGGCTTGAGGAAGCTCCCTCACGTTTTGCTCCGTCCATTGCAGCAGAGCAGAGTGCCAAGCTCAGGTTCAGGCTCTGCTATCGGGGCCGACACCGGCAGCAGCGGGACCGCGCTCCCGTCTCAGCTTCCTGGCTGAGCTGGGTCAGCCTGCCAGATGGAAACGTGTGCGCTGCTGAGCGGAGTTAATTTGGAGCAAATCTGATAAAGGAAGCAGCGAAAATGGAGCGGGAGCACCCATGTGTCACGCTGCAGCCCAAACGCGGGAGGTTTCCTCCGCTGCCTCCCCAGGGACCTCAAGCACAGCTCTGCCAAGCGCCTGACCTTACCGCCAGCTTCCCGACAGAGCCGCTCTCCCAGGCTCATGGTTGGGTTCCCAACTCTTCCCATCTTTCAGAAAAACACTTTAGCAAGGCAAAAATGCAAAAGAAACAGCTCGAGCTGTACAGCTCCTAAATAAACACCCACGCAGACACCGGAGCTCTGGAGCTTGGCAGGGAAAACCAGAGAGAGGTAAAGTTCTGTGGAAACACATCGAGCTTTTTCCTTACTTATTTTTAACGTTGCAAAATGTCATTGAAACTACAAAGCTTGCAAAAAAAGTGTTGTCAGAACTATAAAAAATTTGCAAAAGTCTTTTTTTTTTTTTCCAGTGGGATTCCTTTGAACTAAGTGCAGCGGCAAACTTCTCCATAGCACAGGTCCAAAACAAAACATTTACCTTTTTAGCCTGGCACCAAAACCCAAACAGTCTAATTCACAGCACCGACGCCAACAGGTATTCAGGTATCCAATTCAGGGGGAGTCATGCCAATAACTTGGAAAATTTTAAGCAGCCAAGTCTGGGCATGCTGGCCTGTACTTCTAATACAGACTGCTAACTTACAAGATCTTCTAAATTAAGGTTTTGCAGTTTCTGTTGCTGTTATTTTCTTCACAGATCTTCACCTGAGAAGTTACATCTAGGCTGTTCGTACAAACCCACAAGCCATTTACATGTTTTATGGTCAGGCTGATGAAAGAATGCCACAGTTCCCACAAGATGGTGACAGGGGGAGGGTGTAAATATTAATCGAGCTCATCAACCCACTGCTGCTTCATTCCCACCGGCAACACACAGCAACCCACTTGCATCCCACCGCCGTGTGGTGGCACCTGCCCCAACTTCTGTCTCATCTCAGGAAGTCCTGGGTTTTGTGGGTTTATGGGTGAGCCGAGACTAGAGAGTCAGAAAGCTCACAAGTTTGGTGCTGGTTTCGCCATGACAAGCTGCGTTTGGATCCTCCTTCTCACCTGAGCCCATTCTGCACCACCCGGTTCCTACAGGTCCGCCAGCACGAGCACGCGTGATTACACTCGAAGATCAGTGGCGGCTCAGCCATGTTGAATTCAGGCAGGAGTCGGCCATCCTGAAGAGGAGAGGCATTCAAGACTGGGTTAGTTGTCCGCTCCTATGATCCCTCCAAACCAGAGGCAGGCCACGACCAGAAATTCCCCCGAGTGTAAAAACATGCCAGAGAACCCCAAGGTGGAGGCGTGCCCCCACCTCCCCAAAACCAGCGTCAGACCTCAACTTCTGCAGTGGTTTTGCCGTACCCCGACAGCGGCACTCTCGCCACTATCACCCACAGCTGACAAACAGCAAGAAATCACCTAGATTTTTGCTGCCTGGCATCACCCTATGCACCACCAAAAGAAATATCTTACAGTGCTGTGCAAAAAAAAACCAGTGTGCATCATCATTATTCTCATTTTGCAGCGCTGGAGGGGAGAAGCGGATGCTCGGTCTGTCTCTGGAAGAGAGCCTAAACTTCCAGATTACAAGGCCAGTACACCCAAGTTCTGTGAACCACATTATCTTCCCAAATAACACTCCCCAAAAAGCTACAATTCAATTATTTATCAACCATAGAGGATCAAGGAAGTGATAGACACAGTTCATCATCTTTAACAAATTTGGCTTTTAAGGCTTGAAAGATGTAATCACCTATTAACATGTAAATAAAATGGCTACAAAGCAAAGAAAGATGCCAGTGTTCCCCTGGGAGAAACTTGTAGATTTACAGAACTTCTGATCTTAGCAGAACCTGTCCAAATATTAACCTCAAAACCTCCCTGGGGGCTTGAAGGATACCTACCCAAAACAAACCAAGCTTCTGGCAAAGTTGCAGTTGAAACATCTTTACCTCGCCTTCACCCGGAAGGATCACAATAAATCAAAGCAGGCAAAAAATCTCTCTACTACCCTCCCCTTGTTTACATACTACAGCATTTTCTATGTTGCTCTGAAATGGAAGCCGATTTCACGCATGGATTATTAAATGCTCTCTATCACATGGGTATAATTAATGGCTCAGTTGGCATGACAGTAACACAAATAAATAACACCAGGAAAGCTTCCCTGACTATGCATTTTGTTATTAACACATACATCTCAAAGCTGAGACTGCAACTTCAGGCATTTTAAAACAAGAAGTAGAGGAGTTGTGCACGGCACTGTCTTTAAAGTACTACTATAAACCCTGAACTGTGCAAAGTTCTGCTCGTAAACACCGGTCTGACCCAACATGAGGTTCTGTGTCCTCACCTTATCATACCAGCAGCGCATACTGAGTTGGCCACACATGCAGTTACTGGAGGAGCAGTCATCTATACATACGCAATACTGGAAGAGAAGAAAAGGGGTTAATTCCACGCCACGCACACATAACGGAAAGAGCAACTTCTGTGATGGGGTCACAGAGGAAACCACAAGTCTTTGCCTTCTGCTGCAGCTCATTAGCCAGAAAGATAACCAGCCTCATCGGTCCAGGGGCATTTTTACTCCATTATTTATTTCTGTGTGCAATGAATGTCAAAGTACTCCAGCTAGAAGGAAAGGATCCCATACTGAGCCATCCTCATTTCCCATAAGAGGATGTCCCCTCATGTTAACTAACCTTCCTCTGTGCCCTATGAGCTGTACTCCGCGCTTGAGGACAAGGAAGGCTCCAAGGAGGAACCAGAGCTGGGAGATGACACAACATGATGTCTCAGTCCTCCCCTGCTGTTTGCTTCTTCCCACGCAGGTGCTCCAGCTGGCTGCTCCCCAGCACTCCCCAAACCAACACGGTCCCACCACCGGCTGCCGCACAATAGGGTTTGAGCATGGAAGGTTCACCTCGGCCATCTCAGAGCTGTGCTCAGAGAGGGGTCACCCTCACCCTACACATCCCCACCTCTGCTTTCACAACCCAACCCTTCAAGGACTTCCAGTATCACAGTGAAGACCCAACAACTCACTAACTCTTCACACACAGAACAGAGGCAAAGGATAAATGGGAAACATCAGTCAGCACCAGATTGCTGATGCTACAGCACACAGCTGAATACAGAGGTTAGCTTAAGCCTCAGAAAGGAAGAAAAGCAGAATCCCATCTCCTAGGGCAAGAGCTGGAGTTTAGGACAGCCTTAGCTGGAATTCGATGGCAATATTAGGATTTGCATTCCCATTTTGAATGCTAAGCCCGTTCAGAGGTGCAGCGCACTGCAGCATCTCTGAATGCACACAACAGGACAGGAGAAGATCACGTGGATACACACGATCCCTCACCTGTAAATGAGTGATGTTTCTATCAATGTCCATCGGGGAGGTGACGCAGTTCTGTGAAACATATTTGTAGTTGCTAGGACAAGGCTCGCTGTCCACTGAATTGACGCAGGGAATCGGGATCCGCTCATAACCCCGGGCAATGTCCCTGTCAGTGGGAGAAAGAGAACTGTCACAGAAGGAAAGCTCCCCCCAAACAAGGGGCCATTCAAACGCCATCCTGGGGCAGAATTACCGTCTTTGATCACTGAGCATTCAAAGCCTGAAAGCGATTCAGACTAGCACAGAGTTTATTTTTTTTCTACCCTGCCTTACAGATTGTTCTTTGTACTCGCGAATATTTCCATTTGGAGGATGAATTTACAAACCACGGTCTGAATCAGCATGTGCTTAGTTCTTGCTAAGCTCAAACTGACCTTCACACCAGTTTAAGAAGCTAAGCATGCACTTACAGCCCTTTCTTAAACCAGGCTCCCAGCCTCCCCCGTGCAAGGGGTCTAATTTCAGGACCCACAAGCAGAGCCAGCCGTGTTCTCACCTGCTCACGACCTTCTCTATCTGGGCAGGCTTGTCAGCAGATGATTCTTTGAGAGTCTTGTTCATCTGTAGGGCCACCCAGACCTGAGAGTTAAGGCTGGAGCACTGGAGTGGAGTCTCACCCTCCTTGTTCTTTAAAGTGACATCCGAGCCGCGGGAAAGAAAGAGACTGCAAAACAGCAAGAAAGGATAAGCATCCCCCAAGAGAAACCACGCAAGGGGAAAATGAGCTGAATCACATCCTCCAGCCAGCCCTTAAGGGGCAAGGAAGAATCTGTAGTAGTGAATAATCACCTGAGTTTTCTTTATTAAGCATGGTTCAGTGAATCCTTCTACGTGAAGGCGCTGGCAGAAGCCACAGACTGAAGCTCTAGGCACTCACGAGAGCTCTGGGCAAACCTCGCCTTGCTTCAGGCATGACAAGTACCTTGCTGGTACCAGCCTAACTTCAGACAGGCTTGAAACTCTCTGGCAGGGAAAGATATGGAGTGGGAAGAGTAGGCTGGAAATGGAAAAGTGCCACGGGAAACTGGTATTGGACTTGGCCCTTGTTTATACTCACCAGCTTTTGGTGAGTAGACATGATGACTTTATTCATAGCAATGATGAAGCAAAGGAAAAGCCCTGTTACGATATTATGCAATATAATTGCAAAAAAAAAAAAAAAAAAAAGAGCTTTAATCAAGGATGGCCTGATGCCTTTGTGCTGAGAAGCCCAGGCTGAGCACAGTCCGTCAAGCTCTCTGCCCGAGACTCCAGGACCCTTCCACCTTGTCTGATCTTTTTTACCCCAGCTCTGGCAGCAGCTAGGATTTCAGACCCACCGCCCCTAGGAGCGGGGCAACGGGGCAACAAGTCCTCCATCCCAATTGCCAGCATCCAGGTAGAAAGGAGTGACCGGGACCGGAGGGAAGCGGCAGGGCTGGAGCCGTACTTACACGACACACTCGTAGCGGTTCTCTCTGGCTGCAATATGCAGGGGTGAGTCCCCGTGAATATTCACTGCATGTAAATCACACTTAGCAGCCAGCAGTATCTCCGCTATGTCAACACAGCCAGAAAAAGCAGCCCAGTGCAAACAAATATTTTCCTCCTGGAGGGAAAGAAAACAGAGTAGAGGCTGTTTAGTGCATTAAAACCCGATCGCTTTGGGACTTCACCATCCTTAGCTCTACACCTGCAGCATTCAACATGTGGCTTGCAGCCTTCTCTACATTGCTCCTTCTGGCTGGGACTAGCAGGGCAGGCAGGGAAATCTCCACGCAGACAAGCGGGGAGTTCTCACTCCAGCCGCCTCCGCGCACCAAAGACGGCGAGGCGGCACACAAAGTGGTCCATCGCCCTCCTCACATACGCAGGCACATCGTCTGTCTCTAAGCCACAAAACAATCTGGATCAATCCACGAGAGAGGTGAGAGACATGAACAAACATGCTAGAAAAGGCTAGAAGCTGAGCTTCCCCAGCCCAGACAGACAGGAAATCTAGCGTGTCTCCCAGTGCTACAAAATTTAAGAGAAAAAGAGCACAGCACAAGCTATAGGCTCTATGAAGGTGCTAGGAGCGAACCATGAGCCACAGGGAAAGCAATCAATCCGACTTCAGGCATCTCTTAAATACTGTATGTGCTCATCTCTCACCAGCAGCACTAGAAATAGCTGAACACTCATCTTTTTGATGGAGATATTTTAAGCGATGATACTGTTTTCTGTTACAGTGCAATTTGCAGCACGCTTTGAACCCTTCCCCGTGACAAGCTCTAAAGACATCGATTACAACACTGCAATGATAGTAACGATCACCTAACTTTTCTCTTTTTTTAAAAAGCAAAAATAAAGCACATCTTTTAGTCATCACAACTTAACTTAGATCCTTCCTTAAATGGGGAGGCTATTGACATACACCAGGGAGCGGGGAGACCTCTTTCTATACAGCTTCTGCCTCCCATTATGTTAACATCCAGAAAAAAAATCCTAATCAGCATCACGTACCAATCTACAGAAAAAATTAGTCCTGTCAATTGTACGCCACATACTGCTGCTCAGACAGGTTACAGACACCTCGACTCACGACTCTGCCTTGCATTGGCTACTGCCTAACAGCAGCATAATTACAATCAAAAGCATTTCTCCTGGAGTATGATGTTTCCCAGCAGAAGTGACATTGCTTCTTAATGACTGCAATCAGGAGACACGGAACGCAGGTACAGTAACAGATATGCGATACATGCATCTGCTAAGAGGATACTTTTCTTTCAAGTAAATTGTTGACAGAGCTGATTTGATTTTCATCATTTAATGTGTGATCTTGTAACTGGTAGCCAAAGGCTTCTGTGGCAGATCAAACGAGTCAGTTTTGTTCAGAGTCAGCACGAGGGCTCTGAAGCAATGCAGCAACCCAAAAAGCCCCCTCTCTCGCCTTCACTTTTGCTTTTAGGAAGAGTAACAGATCCAGACCTGCCTTGGGAACAACCTAAGTTACCAAGGGAATAGAGGCTCCAACCAAGAAGGGGCTTTCAGACTGGGGACAGGGATTCCTCGAGAACAGCTGGAGCCTTTCTGAGTCCCAAGAGACAAACGTGCCAACACCTACCCCTGCTAGCAGCCGCGACACAAAACGAGGCATTAAGGGAGACAAACACAAACGAGGTGCTGATACCCCTTGGATTCAAAAAGCACCAGGAGCCTTGGACAAGAAAATACACTGCCATGAGTGTGAACTGATGGCAGGGTAGGTACTTCGCTGTAACAACTCTGTGCAGAAAGCAGTGAAGCCCGTTACCCTTCATTTATCAATCTCACATCTACAGGCCAAAGCCTGGAGTAGCTCATCACACCCCATTCACACCCAGCCTTGCCTTGCAGGTACGTCTGGGGTTTCAATACCCTTAGAGACAGAAAGGAAAGAATGAGAAACATGCTATTAAGAAAAAAAGAGGTGCAGTGCTGACAGAAGGAGTCTCCTGAGCAGAAACTTGGATGAGTGGGGAAGAAAGGGGACAGTGTCTCCCTTGCATCTTCTCTGTTTACATGAAAATCCCCACGAAACCAGCTGGCACAGCCCGACACACAGCGCTGCCGGGCCCAAGGAGCTCCCAGGGACTCAAGTATGGAGCACATCCCACTTGAGCAGGATTTACGGAGGTGAAGAGCAGGCCAAGAGCCAGCTCCAGCACACTGGGCGCGCTCTGTCCACGTCGGTGGCTACGTGCCTGTTATGCCCAGGAAAAGGCAGATTTGTGATACTTCCTGGCAGAGTGTCTGTCCAATCCATCTCGAAAATACAAGTACAAGCTCATGCCCCTCAAAAGGCACTCAGGATGTCCCTAACCCATGCCCAGTGAACACTGGTCCGTGACCAACATGGAGCTGGCAAGCCTGGACTCGAGGGGGATCTGCCTGGTGCAGCGTCCAAGTGGCAGCACAGTGGACCCAGGTGGATCAGAAGCAGCAAGGCACAGAGCTGGCTGCAGCCTGCGGCATCACATACAGCATCCTTATGGGCTACGTCAGAAGAGCTGAACGAAAAGCACTTCTTGCCAGCTTGTAAACTTCTTCCTAGAATGGGAAGTTGGAGTTGGACTAGATGATCTCTAAAGGTCCCTTCCAACTCGGAAAATTCTGCGATTCTGTGATTCTTTCTGTGAATATGGAGGAAAATTCTCCCACCAGACACAATTCACTCACTGCCCCAAACCACCTGTGTCAAAGGACCACTGCACCTCCCTGCACTGAGCCCAAAATCTGCCTCCTTGGGCTTGTTTGGTTTTTAAACAGAGATTGTGGCTAATTTCTGAACCGGATTCCAGGAAGAACCTCACGTTGTCACGGATGTTGATGTCCGACCCCTTGGCAAGCAACAGCTTCACCAGCTCAATATGCTTGTACTCGGTGGCCCAGATCATCGGTGTCCAGCCTCCATCGTCCTGAGGAGAGAAAGGAAAGGGTGAGATACACAGAACAGGCAAGGCGGTTTCCTGCTGGCTTCACAAGCCCCTCGGCAGGCACCGGAGGGTGCACCTCGCCTGGGAGCCACAGACACCTTCCCTCCCCACGTCTGTCTCATCACTCTCCTTTGGTCTTGATAGGACGAGGGGGAATGGCTTTAAACTGGAAGAGGGCAGGTTTAGATTAAACATTAGGAAGAACTTTTTCACTTTGAGGGTGGTGAGGCACTGGCACAGGATGCCCAGAGAGGTTGTTGAGGCCCCATCCCTGGAGGTGTTCAAGGCCAGGCTGGATGTTCCCTCCCCACGTCTGTCTCATCACTCTCCTTTGGTCTTGATAGGACGAGGGGGAATGGCTTTAAACTGGAAGAGGGCAGGTTTAGATTAAACATTAGGAAGAACTTTTTCACTTTGAGGGTGGTGAGGCACTGGCACAGGATGCCCAGAGAGGTTGTTGAGGCCCCATCCCTGGAGGTGTTCAAGGCCAGGCTGGATGGGGCCTTGGGCAACCTGGGCTGGTGGGAGGTGGCCCTGCCCAGGGCAGGGGGGTTGGAACTCGATGATCTTCAAGGTCCTTTCCAACCTAAACCATTCTGTGATTCTATGCTGCTGCAGGGAGAGGTCCCTCCGGGTCTTGCAGCCCCAGCATGATTCTATCCAACCTTCCTCAGCAGGTTGGCGTTTATTTGCAGCTCAGCACACCGCCAATGGATCTCCAGGGTGTTCAAATACAGCTGACTGACCCAAAAGGCACAACGAACATTCGGCTTGTGCAAAAGCTCTTAGAAAGCTCCCTGAGCAGCCTCAGGGAGCCGGTCTTCTCCCAGGACGAGGAACCCCAGCGCAGAGCTCCCTCACTCCAAGGCAACAGATAAGCTCAGTGCTGGACAGTGCGAGGCTCAATCCATCCCACAGCATGTCCATGATCCCACCAGCCTCTCTGCTAGGAGGAGCACAGGGATACCCTTGGGCAACAGCAACAGGCTCCACCAGCAAATTCAGGCTCAAGGAGAAACCACAAATCCAGACAGAAGGTAGGAAAGTTTCCATGAGGTCAGCGGAGGGGATTGCCTTCTCTGGCAGACCGGGATGCCCTATAATGTTGCCCTATAATGTTTTTCAGGTGCCCCCCGTGAGCAGGGCTGTATCTGAGTAAGCACTGCCCAGACACGCTGGTGAGACGTGGGTCCCTCACCCCAGAAAAGCAGCTTCTGCCCCTCGCAAAGGCCTCACCTGGCAGTTGACATCCATCTTCCCGTTGGAGAGGAGGTACTGAACAACATCGTAGTGTCCCTTCTTGGCAGCCAAGTGCAGACACGTGGAGCCCTCCGCGTCCTGGACACAACCACAGAATAAGCGCTCAGGGGACATCCCTTCCCAGCATTTCCCATGTCTGCATGACACCGGTGATGCTTAGGAACAGCGGAGAAGTTCCTTTACAGAGGCAGAGCTTACACTTTACATCAGAAAAGTAGCCTTGCCTCAACCTGAAATGCTCTGTTTATACAGGTTTTTTGCTGTGTTTTATTAGCACAAGGCCTTATCCCAGCACCTGGCAGGAGGGGTGTCCTGCACAGGGGCCAGGAGCCTCCCGAGAGACCACGTCCCCGGCGTGCCCGCAGCCGTCTGCCGAGACAGGAGATAAAAAACCACCGTGAAGGTTGAAAGGAAAAATGCCTTTGGGAGCCGAGAATACAGGGTCTGGTGGAGATGGACAGGCTGTGAGTCATGACGGAGACACTCCCACACTAACACCAAAGATCTGGAGGCTGATTTTTATCAGGCGTTTATATCCCAAGAGCTTAGCACACAGCAAGGCCCGGAGACCAGGAAATAAGGAGGAGGAAATGAAAGACTGAAAAACCAAAGTGACTCCTTCCTGCTAAGCCCCTGCAAGCAACAGCGGAGGCCAGAGCGGAGAGCACGGCACAGGGCTAGGGAGCAACCGCCCGAGCAAGGATGGGACATTGCGGGTCAGGGATTACACCGCGTGAGCTTCTCGGGGTAAAGAAGGTGTTTCTACAGCCCCATAAGCACCTGCCGCATCTGAATAATGCCCCAGCCTTCCCCTTAGATTAGCGTGAGCAAAGTGCAGCTTCTCGACTCCGTGGAGAGCGTTATTGTAATTTAATATAAAGTTTCTGCAGGTTTTGAGTGGGGATTTACAACCCATTAACAGGATCAACAGCTTTGCCCTGGGGTCTGAGCAGCCCCCCACATCCCCTCCAGCGCCAGGCTCCGCTCACGCCCGCAGCAGTTAATGTCCGGATTTCTCATCGAAATGGCTGGAGCCGATTTTAAACTGCAATGATGCCGCTTTCAAAAAGATGACTAATTTGGTGCAAGAAACTAATTAACATAATAAACTAGTCTAGACTTCAGACGTGATCTCAGGCTTCTAATTTGCTTTTGCAAGCTCAGGATTTTCCCCCCTTCCCTTTACCTTTAGAAGTAAAAAAAAAAACCTCTTTTATCTTCCACATGGATAAATCAGGTGAGTGATATTTGGATTGCTCCAAGATGCTCGGGATAGCAGCCAGCATGAACCCACACATGCCTGTCCTGCCCTTTTCCCCTTCTCGGCTCAGAACCAGGCTGCCAAGGATCCGTGTATGGCTCGGGGTGGGCAGCACTTGGTATCTTGTGCAGCTGTCCCGGCCCCGTCAGCTCCTTCCAAAAAGAGCATCCTGGCCCGGCCATACTCCCCAGCAATAGCAGAGGAGCGCGCCAGCAGCAGCAGGTTGTAACAATAAGAAGTTCACGTGGGGAGGGTTCCTGTGCTCCAAATAGCGTCTGATTTATGGGACTAATAAACGATCTGTATATTTTCCAAGATTGCAAAGCAACCAGAGCATGCTAAAGGCAAACAGACAGCTGCATTTTATTGTATTTGTTTAAATTAAAGGGTAGAGTTTAAAGACGGGGTCCAATTTTGCCACTGTGGCGTGATTGCAAGAAACCGCACATCAGGCCTTTGGAAAGCAAAGCTTCCTCTGTCATTTTTGCTGGCTTGGCAAGCAACAGCCCATTTTAAAACGTCACCCCAAAAGCCTCATTATTGGAGTCTATAGAGGAGGAAACTCTGAAATCAAACTCCTAATATGCTGCGATAGATTTGTGACACTAATACTTAGTGGCCCCAGATGAAATCAAATACCCCCTACATTTGGTGCCACAAACTAACGTAGGAAGTGGCAGCTCTCGCCCCAAACTGCTCACAGCCAGGACACTGCATCATCAAAATGCCACCACCAACCACCACAGCCTCGCCAAGCCTTCACGCCCAAGACAAGCAAGTCTGTTTCCCCTCTGACTGTGCACTTCCACCCCAGACTTAAAATGTATCAAGAAAGAAATGGTGGACAGAGGCTTCTTCAGGAGAAGACGTTAAGGGATAAACTGCTACCTTAGGATCTACTAGTGCTCCAGCCTTGATAAGGTATTTCACAGTTTCCAGATGGTTGTTTTCTGCTGCTTCCATCAGTGGGGTCCTCTGGTCTTCAGAGCAGGTGTCTATATTAGCACCAGCCTGTTAAGAGGCCAAGGAAACACAAGGACAATGACAACCGTTACTGCTTAGCAGAGGAAGGATGTGGGAGTAGAGATTTAGTCACAAGTTTTGAAGGCAGTCCAACTTCACTTGTTTCGGAAAGCAGCACACACTGCCTGCCCTCTCTCCTGCCTTCTACAGCCAGTAACCGGGCTGTAAGGAAGCCAACAGCTGGTATTAAATAACTCTTGTTATTAACGCATTTTGTACTGCTACTTTCTGGATATTGTTTGTGTAACAAATTGGAAAAACCAGCCTCCTCCTCTCTCCAGCAGCTTTGTTTTCGGTCTATCATTTCTCCGGACGCAGTGAACAAAACCACCAGCTCTTCCCAATGTCACAAGCAGCAGGAACAACTTGCTGATTGCAACAGAGGTAGGGGCTGTAAAAAAACCTCTGGAGATCGGCTAACTAATTCCCGTTGAAGTCAACGGTAACATTTCTGCAGAGGTCTCTGAGCACATATTCAGTTCAACACGGAGTGCCTCGGACCAAAATCTTACTCTTTTCCAAAACACTACCGTGTCATGTATCTCGCCTGCTTTAACTCTTTGACTTAGCTCAGTCACCCACTCGATATTTAAACCCAAAAGAAAATCTCAGAGACAGCACAACTCTTGGCAGGCCACGCACACGCATACATCCGTGTGAGGCACAGACCTGTTTACAGCAGCGACACGCTGACTCAGGTTCACCTGGCACAAGAAGTTGGCCCCGTCGCTTCCAGGTGCCTCCCACTGAATTCATTTGTTTTGATTACTTTTAAACAGCTACAGCTATTTAAACCAGAACACAGAAGAGGCATTTCAAGTTTAACAAGCTGGGGACGTTCCCAGCCAAATACTGCGCTACTGCAGTAGCCAGACATCAGGGAAGAGACAAGAAGATGAAGGATTTTGGAAACAAACCAAGCCTACTGATACTCAGTTCAAATTGTTTGTAATACCTCCCAAATTTTGCTCCTTTTACTCATATGAGCCATTCCATTGCCTTCACGTGCAGGAACTTGAGACTGCGAGAGCAGCAGGGCAGGCACACAGCTGCACCTTCAAACAGCACTTTGAAAGCCTCCGACTCCAGATGCTGAAACGCGACATCCCAGCAGGCTCATGTGTGAAGACACAGCATTGCCGCTTTCCCGAAAGCCCTTTAAGGTTTCTCAGTCACACAGGGTAAATAAAACATACTTCCACTCACTTCAGACGATGTACGCCAGCACAAAACAATGAAAAACTGCAACTTTTTTAATCCTCCTTTTTTCTTGGCATCATTTTTGACAGAAGGGAAGACAGAGTCTGTGAGTTTGCGGGCTCCAGAGCCTACCTGCCTTTGTTACAAAGAACAACTTGGCAGCAGCTGGCAGGTCACCAGCAGCGTGCCAGCGGTCAGATGCTGGCACATCTGGCACATCTGGCAGCGCACCGCTCTGCTGGGTGTGCTCAGGCATATATAGGTTGCCTACATGCTCCACAGTGCCCTACATCAAAACTTCACGTGCTCGTTGCCTGGGCAGCGAAGCTTGCTTGGAGAACAGCCGAGAACGACAGCTTCAGTCATGTCCTCTAAGACCTCACGCTACTCTCCACCACTCCTCCCACAGCAAACTCTGAGAATAAGGAGGTTTTTACAGGAGGCACGTTTCAGTGCTGATTTCCAAGTGTGTTTTAGCCATGTGGGGCAGGAGACCAAAAACCACAGAAAATTGCTTGTACAGAAGAACATAAGCAGAGACAGACCTGAATCAGCATATGGCAGATGTCCACGTGGCCAGACTCGGCGGCAGCATGGAGAGGGGTTCTCTTACTCTGATGCTCCATTTTAAAATTAGGGTCAATTCCATCCACTGAAAAACACAGCAGAGGCACTTTCAACCACGATTCAGAGATTAGAGAAAAGCGTAACAGGAGAACCAGGTCTCAGCTAAAGGCTTTTAAGGGGCGAACTCCCAGTCCATCCTCAGCCCTTCTCACGACTCACTACACATTCAAGCCAGAAAGCTCTCAGGGTATTCCCACGGACATTCGATATCCAACAGCCCTCAAATCAAGAGCTTTAGAAACAACATGGAGTTTAATACCTTTAAGGCATTACAATTTCTACGCAGGCCATCTCCCTCAGATTCCCAATTCCCCACCTCTCGGTGCAACAAAACTGACCAACACTATACCAGGATAAAAAGGAAAAAAAATTGCTGCTTTGTTTAAAGCAACACAGAAGTTGGTAACAACGAAGAATCGTTACTACCTGGCCTTTCTGCCTCACCACTATTAACTGCAATTAGTAATAGTGATCCTCGTTGCATCAGTGCAAACACGGGGCTACAAAATGGATGGAGCATCTCCAACTAACACGAGCTCGGGATCTGGCCAGAGATTCTCATAGCTGTGCAAAGACTGACAGATGATGATAACAGCCAGACAAAGATGTCTGGGCATGATAACATGTTGCATATGACGAGGCCATAGTTAAATATCAATGAATAACATTTTTGTGCTATTGAAGACACGAACAATGAAGCTAACACTTGCTAGAAGAAAAAAGAAGAATCTGATAAATGAAAAGAACAGCAAGCGTCAAAAAATGTGCTGCAAGGTACTGGAGTGGAAAGGAAATGATCCCAAGGAAACATTGTGTCCTTCAAACGGGGAGATTCCTCTGGAATATTTGTTGGTAAAAACAATCTCAGCAGCTCAAAGTCAGACAACTCTGTACCCCCAAAACAAACCCTGTGTATTGAAGGGCTCCTCCTTTCTGCTCTCTTGCTGATGGGTCTCGGCTTAAGCTGACTCCCATCTTTTTACCTCTCGACTGGATGCAAATACCCAACTACCCCACCGCATGGGGAGGAAAAGCTCTGTCGGACTGGAGAAATCACATGTAAGTCATCTGGGGACAGAAACAGCTTCTCTGGATAAAACCGTGTCCAAATGCAGAAACAAGTTGGGAGCAGGTCCACATTTCACAGAAAGATGAAGCCATTTCCAATGACACATCAATTGCAAAAGTGGCTTTCTCCTCCAACACCGCTCACAAGGGGCAGTGGGGAATATGACGTGCTGCCATGCTGGGAACTGGACTCTGGCAGCTGCCTGGCAGGAGCTGGGAGTACTGCCAGACACGCAATGTCCTGGGAAGGAGCCACCTACCCAACATAAGCAGGACTTTTTGCAGCTCTCCTTGCCTCGCAGAGAAGTACAACTGCTTCGGATGGAACCGTAACTTCTTCGGTCTGCAGGAGTGGGGAAAAGAGACATAATTAAAACTCACGGAAGAACATTCCCAGCATTTCACCCCACCCCACTGCTACCCCATGTGCATGACAAAGTCTGTTCCTATGGTACAGCTCCACAGTACCAGCAACACACAAGAACAACAACCCTCCAGAAGGAGATCTTCAGACTTCCAGCTCCAACCACAGCCAGCCTTATTCTAACGAGGGCCCCGTCTATTCAGTGCTGCTCATCAACAAACTCCGGGTCTTACTTCTGTAAACAGGAACTCCTAGTAGTTACAGCTGCGGTTGGAGGGCCAGTGAAAAACTAAATCCTCCAGATAAATCAGTAAGACATTTAGAGCGATAACTGTTCTCTTGAATCAGTAATCTGTTGGGGGTGACAAATGACTGAAACTCAAATGAACAAAAAAAGGTCTGAGCGGGGCCAAAATCCAGAGAAGCTAAATCTCAGTTTTCTCTAGGTTAAGCAACTTTCCTGGGAACTGGAGAGACCCAGCGGTCTTTTTCTTACTTTTCAGAGTCCAGGGCAATCAGGGCACTTTCCAGAGTTTCTTTAACTGGTCCCTGGGTCAGGCTAGTAGTAGGCTTTGGAAAAACTGAAGACCCAGCCATGTCAAACCCCTCAGCAGCCGAACTTTCTGGCTTGTCTTCCTCTGACAACCGCGTCCCAGTGCCACTGAAGAGAAAAAATGAGAGACAGCCAAAGCACAACCATTAAAAATACACAACACTGTGTATCTTATGCCAAAGAAGGAAGAGAAATGGATTTTAAACGCACATAAGCGTAAGTGAAATCAAAACAGAAACCAATATATTTTACAGCCTTTTCAGTAAGAACTCGCCCCAAAAAAGGACTTGCACTGCCCTATGATCACATTTTGATGTACTTAGTGCTACAGGAAACCCAGGAACATGGCGCAAGTCATAAAAGCCACCAGAACAAGATCAGATCAGATGGAAAGTTGGAGCACTGTTCAACGCAGGGATGGCTTGATTTCTGTTCTCCTCTGCATTTTCATCCTCTCTTCATACCTGTGCCCATTGGCGCTACAGCTAGGCACCACATGAATTTCCCTGTCCCTTGGAAGACCTGGCAATATCAACTCGTTCCACTATTATTCCATTCCTAACAATTAGAAGACGGTTTTAACTCCTCGACCCCTCCTTATCTTCATAGCCTCTGCCCCAGCTCACCCTGTGGTTGCCACGCTCTTCTCTGACACAGCGAGCAACACAAAACACGCTTGCAGCTGAGTTTGGCTTGCCAGAGCAGGACCAGAAAACATCTCGCTCCCATCAGGAGGAGCACAAGCATTCCAACGCAAAGCACACTCTGGTATGAGGTTTGAGATGACCACGTGCTCCCAAGCTCACCTCCCCGTTGTGGTGTCAGCCCTTCCCTCCACAGCCGCTGGTTTCTGCTGCTCGTAGGTCAGCGACACCGTCGAGGTTGTGTCTGCTTTTGCTATTGTCACCTCCTTTGCCTTGGAGGCCTCTTCCCCGCAGTGTGGGCAGTAGCTCATGTCGTTGACCTGGGAGGCACAATTCTTGTGGAAACGGTGGGAGATGCTGCTCTCCGGCTGACACTCCATGAAAGTGCCCTAAAAAAACCACAGAGAAGAAATTCACACCTTGGTCACTACATGCCTCACCCCTTCTACATGCTTCGTCCGCAGATCTCTTAAATACTTCATTCATCACCACTCTTGTCCCTGGCGCTTCCAGTACAGTAAGCAAGCACTGCCACTTCTTTAGAAGAGAACAAAACCAAGGTAATGGGGGGAAAAACTCACTTGGTTAGGGACTGCAAAGCAAGTTTTTTAATTGTGCTTGGGAAACAGAACCAAGAAGTCCCAATTTCCAGTTCTTTCCTCTAATGCTTGAAGTTCTTGCTTATGTTTCTAGAAGTGCCAGTGTACTGCAAGGACGCCCCCAAAACTGGAAAAGAAGACTTCAGACCTGTGTGCTGAGCCAGCATTAAAACTACCTGACAAAGCTGCGCACGAACCATTCAAGGACCTACATGAATATAACTAAATCAGCTGTTAACCCCAATGTAACCTAAAGCATGAGAATTCTCCGCTTGGACCAGCCCCGTATGCTGTTTAACCCCAATAATGTGGCTGACTGCACATTCAACAGACTTGGGCAACTTCTCTTACAATTATTTTCCTTTTCCAGCAAAGTCCTCCAAACTGAAGTGGATGTACCCCAGAATTCACGGCCCTGTGATATTAGTGCTACCTGACGCCCTACTGTGCTCTGTGTTATTAGTGACTGATAGCACAAACACGCTCCGGGTTCATCTGTATGAACTACACGTCCCTCAGAGATGTACGAGCATGTAAGGACAGGCTAGTTAAAACCCATTCTTCTCCTGAATTCCTGGTCCTCCCAAGCAACCTAATTAACTCTATCTCAGCTTTGCAAAATGTGTTTAAGGGTTGTGAGGATTTTATCTTTTAAATGATCTTTGACTCAGCATGAAACCCCAGGATGGCTCCGTTTATTACAGTTACAATAATGCTTAAGACTACTGTAGCATCCTTCATTTAGTCACCCTGAAGAACACTAGCATCAGACAATTAAGTCCCCCCATCACCCTGCGAGGCCCTCAACTGGTGTTTTTCAGCTTTACCAACAGGAAAACTAGGAAGCTGATGACTTAAAGGACTGGACCAACGCTAGTAAAAGCCTCGGTGGCAGAGGTGGAAGAAGGAGCAGGAGACCTCAAACACTGCCTTGTTCCAGTGCCATCACTCAGGTTGCTCATCTAAGCCCTCACGACCAGGTCGGGGGACAGAACCACTCTCGTGTACATTTACAAACCAAGCTAGTGCAATTTTTTTAATGTGATTGATCTGTACAGAAAAAGAAAAAACACCCTTGTTCCAAAGAAATTCCTAAGACAAGACTTCCACTGTGTGAAATCCCATTAAAAACCCTTCAGTATCACCCCTTGGGGTCTCCAGGAAGATAAAGGTGACGATTGCAGCTACCCTCGTGCACATTTCTGTTGAAAACACCACCTGACGTGCTGTGGAACGAGGTGGAGCTGATGCCGGGAAGTCAGTAAACCCCTGTAGGTACTATCTCCACCTTCAGCTCTTCCAGCTACTGCGACAGGTACCCCCTTCCCTAGATTGAGAGCAGGGACTTACTGCAGTGCAAAAGTATCCACAGCCAGGGCAACACTGGTGTTTCACCATCCTCCCTCTATGGTCCTCACACAGCACCAAAAGCTGGACTTTGTTAGACGGGCGCATCAGTTCATACTTAACCACACTGTTTGTGCATCGGCCCAGCTGGAACAGGAGAAATTAAAGGAAATGAAATTACTGGAGACCAAAACACTCTCTGTGCTTGTGCGGAGGAAGATTTTTGCACACTGCCTCGATGAGCCCTGGCTTTTTCACAGTAATTCAGATGTGTGCCAGATAGCATTAGCAGTGCAGCAGGAAGCTGTGAAAGCTGCTCTCACAGGAAGAAATGCATCATTTACTAACTAACATGCAGGTGGACCCCGAGTTGTTTGTTCCTTGCGAGGGAAAAAAAAAAAAAAAATCGTAACTGGA